ACAGCACCAACGACGACTGATTGATATCAGTTGATGAAGTTGGCGGTGGATCAAAAGCTGTTGTTGCTCGACTTTCAGAAAGTTGTCTACCTGCAAGACCACCACCACTGCCGTCTTTTACTATCAGCTCAGGTTTAGCACTGGCATCTGATGATAGGTGGGCTACATGCTGATCAATCACACTGACAGTCTCACAAGTATGCGTTCCTTCTGCAACTGAATCTGCATTTATTTCTACTTCACGTTCAAGTTGTACAGAACCTTTGTTCAACTTAGCAGTAGTGGGCATATCTATCATCTCATCATGATTAACCAAAGACAACTGTGAAGTATCATGATCATTATCACGAATATTCACTTTACCGTCAACTTCATCATTTTCAAACTCTTTAATAGCAGAAGTAGACAATTTTGGTTCCTCCTCATAAATCCCTAAGGACTTTATACCTTCACTCTGAATAGTTATACCTTGTAAACTTGTAGGGTCAGAACTGCACTCTGAAGCAGCAACTCTATTCTGTGACACTCTATTCAACAATGACTTACCAGTTGCAACTACAGACTTCCTGACCAAACCGTTATCGTCACACAATTCGGAGTCATGCCTGGAGTTTACATTTAGCTTATCACTGAACTTGCTTACTGGTTCACAGCTCACCTTTGTACGCACTTCTTGCAAACGTGTGAAACACAACCGTGTTTGTCTTGCATCTTGTAACTTATCTGTTGAGCATGTACTACGAAACCTGTTGCACTCATTAAGTTTATATGCATTACTAGACATCATGGAGCCTTCGCGATATCCACCTCTCTGAGGCCTATTCGTCATCAATGAGTGCGTTTTACCCTCAGACTGCTCTATTCTAGGGGTGAGATGTAAGAGACTGTCGAACTTGCTCATAGATTGATTGACGCTATCTTTTACCAGTTTCAGGATATCATCAAACTTTGGCTCGATACCCTCATCCTCCATACGGGAGCTCATCTTCACCCACTTCCTTTGCAGTCGAGTAGGTAGACGTCTTGCTATTACTTCTAGTATAAAACTCGAGTTGAGGTCACTCATGCGATCCATCGAAATCATTCCATTCTTGTAAATTTGCAAATTATCTAAAAACTCAGTGAGTGCCTGGGAGTCATTCTGTAATTGACCACCATTACCCTTAACAGCCTCGAATAATTTCCCTCCAATCATCGAAGGTCTTCCAAACCTTTGACGTAATATGCTCATAGCCTCGTAGTAGCCCTCTTTTGGCTTCATAAACTTACAACACTGTATAGCTCTTGCAGCATCTCCAGTGCAATATCTCATCAAATACATTAACTTCAATTCATCACTTAGTAGAAAACTACTCAGCATGATCTCAAACTCCTTTACAAATTGTAAATAATCAGCCGGGTTTCCATCAAAACACCGTGGTTCAAATTTAGGGAGTTTGATGTTCCTATTATCCATGGACGGCGAAACAGTAACATCAACCATATCATGCTTAACATCAGACACATCGTTACAATTAACAGACAAGTCACAATGACTTACTTTCCTGTTTGCATCCAAGACACTCTGTCCCTTCTTTGACCCAGGCATTGTTGAACTTGACCCAATTCCAAAAACGTTCCAGATATTGCTTGTTCAAAGAGGACTTGACCGGCACCAGGAAAAAGGAACGGCGAATATCCAAACCTTCACCAACTGTTTGAATCCGCCAGATCTGTTTCTATCGTCAGAAACTGTCAATCACGTTTTATAAACCGTTAATGCCCGGCTCTCGCTACGCTCGGGCCCACGCTGTTCCTTGAAGATTTCAGAAACGCTTAGTTATAACGGACGAAAAAACCAAAACACAGATCTGCCGCTTGATATTTCTTTATTGTTACACCAACATATGAAAAGAATAAGTGAATTAAGGTCTGAAAACAAATATTACAATAATAAATCATAGTATTACTTCTGACGATGTTTCACTCTTCTTTCTAAACAGCGACCGATGAGACGATGACTGTCGTATTGATGCCTCCGCGAAAATTGGGGAAGTTGATTTTAAGCAAACAACCAAGAATTGATCGTTCAATCTTCAACTCCATTGACAGTATGTATAATCTCCAGTGTACATGTTAAACATATCTTGCTATCGACTGTGAATTGTGACTGAATAATATGGTCATATTTCTGTAACAATTTGATGATGCCTGTAAACTGGCGTCCCTCATGTACTGCATCATGAGAATTAATTTATTTATTTATATACAAATTAAAGGCTCGAGATATTTCTGATTTTTTTGAGGGCTTAGATCTTTTTCTCGAAATAGAGAATAATGAACGCCTAGACAGATCATGCTTCTACCTTTAAATATATACCATTCGCTCAGCCTATTGTTGAGATGCGACCACGCGGGATCTGCACAGATTTATGGGGCATCTTATAAACTAACTTGCTGTCCATTGTCGGATCTTTAAATACCACTTCACAATGTCTTATCTCATTCATTTTCTAATAACGTCTTTACTTGATCCTCATTATATTCCATTAAACCTAACATTTTATAGCTCTTTATGAATTTGATTCGACTTATTCTATTCCTATTCTCTGTAGGGTACGGTTGTGCACCAAATACAAAAAAAGGCATGAAATAAAAACAACTGGCTTGAAAATAATTGTATTAAAGCCAAAAGTGGACATCATGATAGTTCAAACTGTACAGGAAGCATTATACATTGCAAATGAACGTTGTCGGCCTAGGGATTAATTACTTCCCCATTTTGTTTTCTATATAAATGTGTTTATTATTGATATATTTCACTCACTTAATCAATTACACTTTAGTGTTTCACCTTAGCACTTTAACTTTTCTAAAACAGCTTTCAATCCCTTGTGAACGTTGTACTTACCTCAATATTGGTTGGTTATCGTATGCCGACAACCACGGGATGAAAACGGAACGAAGTCGATTTTCCCGCTCAACCTGGAGGACAACTGTACAATTCAATAACTGTACGGCCTGGTTCAGACAATGAGTGTAATTATATATATGTATCAAATATTTAATTGTTGAAATGGCATTAACTTGTAGACAATTGAGGATTTGACATTATACCATACTTGATCGTGCCTGTAAAAATGGCATGCATTTTCATGTAAATTTATGTTTATATGAAATTAAAATTATCATTATTATTATAATACTACTCACTAATTTAAGGTCGTGATCGTGCCTTTTCACGGGATGAGATTCTTTGGACTCTTCCAAATTTCCAACAATTATGTTAGAGTCTAAGGAGAGCTTGTCGTATTTAGCAGTGGCTACATCGTTTCTCAACACTATTGATGCAGCCTGGCCACAGGTAACAGACGTTTGCCAACCATCAATATTACTATATTTCTTCCGACTGCTTATTTTTGTTACCCATTTATCATCTGCCTGCAGTTGCTTCTCAGGGCTGCTGCAGTTTTTGATGGTACAATCAAGATCAGTGTCTGCACCACCTTCATAGTGAACTTCGCTTACGGTGTTCTCTGGTTCTGAGATGCTGTTTACAGCTTCCGTTTTGTTACCTTTTCGCTTACTAAAACGCTTCGAACGCCTAGTAGGTTTTACTTCCGGGGTAACTGGGATAGTAACCGCCGGTGTGATAACATTCATGATGACACTTACTGCATCATCTTCAGACGGGCGGTCCGTGTCACTCTCACTAGCCACGCTATCATCAGGAAGTTCCATGGCTCTAGACAGCAGTTCGTGAGCCTCCCTTGTTAAGGTCGTCTTTGGGGAACAACACATTCTGCACATCCAGTGGGATGTTGGAGCAGTACAACGTTTGTATGCAGCTGGACGTAATCCAGTACACATCTTTTGATACCACTTTTCACAGTTATTACACTGTATTCCATCATCTACCAAAAAGTAACACACCGCCCTATTACATTTATGTGGTACTTTTGACATAATGAACTTCTACTGGAAACAGCCAAGACAATTTACCCAATATAGACTATATAAGTGGTTAAAATCAAAACTTAACAGACAAAAGTCAAGTTAAAGTTTTTTTAAATGTTCTCGAAGTGAATAACACAACAACACAGCGATTTGTCAAAAACGTGAAATACGTGAAAAAAGCACTCCCTTTCAAACAGCGCGCGCGAATAAATTAAGGTGATGTTGAAGAACCGCAGGATTATGGTCCTATTAAACGAAATGTGTCAGGTCAACGTGTTATTAGCTTTTTAATATGAGGTTTTCGGGTGGCCAAACATAAAGAGTACACCAGTTAAACCTAAAATTCATTCCAGTTAATAAAATACCAATTTGAGCCGGGAATATACCAGACTCAAATGAAGCACAAATCCACAAAGTTTCAGAAACTGTTATTCCCTGTATCTTTAGAATTTCAAGTGATCGAAAAACAGTAAGAGCGGAGGAATCACATTTGTTTCGTAATTAGCCAGAAGCTGATCACAGATTCAGCATCGGAATTTATTTCCGATATACGCAAGACATTATCTAGGCTGTAAGAAACATTCAACTACACTCCAGGTAGAATATGAGACACGTGCGAGACCAAGTCCAAATGGCACGGGCTTATCCTTCAGCTTGTATCACAGGGACCCACATGATTATCTTACTCAAATTCTGTCGTTTAACCAGAAACGATGGGGTCCAAATGTAATCATCTACATACAGAAACTTACATTGCACCCTAGCAGAGCTTTTGGCTGAAGCTACATGTAATCAATCCCAGGACAACTCCTTTTGGATTCAACCAAAGCTACGAAAGTCGAGTAGCGGGACGAGCTACGTAGAAGTTTACCGAAGATCAGGAACCTATACCTCACAATCAAGAGATGAGCACAAAGAAATCAAATAGGTTTATACTAGCTCGTAAAAAAATATTGGATACGTCCACAGAAGGATTGAAATACTATCATGTCTCTCAAAGAATTTAAAAATACTATACATTTGCGATATTCATTCCAACAGAGTGAAGTTCTATGGTATGTTTTAATGCTTCGTCGTTGGTATACCTTGAGAGACAAGGTCACATAATGACCTTGGCAAATCAAACGTATGTATCCTATAATCTAGAATGGTAAAGGCTATTGCATTCCCCTTGAGGCCCTTTACCATCAAAATAATTTTCCTGGCGTGTATTCTTTTACTGTCCTTGCAGCTGATATTTTTTTATTCCTCGAGTATTGACGGTAAGTAGACTGTCTTCGTGTTTGTAATATATATTGTGCACATAACCGCCTATATATTGTGTTCTAATATAATAATATATTTGTTGAACAATTTTTCATTACACTATTTTCGTCACACTTTCGTATGTAGCAAAGTAGCTCATCCCTATGCAGAAAGAAATTTCTTTCTGCATAGGGATTAACCTTGCAATTTCTAAATAAATTATAAAATAGCAGCATAAGTGATGCTAACAAAACTAGAGGGAATGCAAAGTTTAATATAAAGCCGAATGCAACTGCTGATTTTCATAGGCTGTATGTCTGTACTTAGAAGTGAACCTCATCTTTTCCGTCTGTTTGTTAAGAATATTATCATATATCAACGTTTCTTTTATTAGCAGGTTGATTCCTGCTCTTAGTATTACATATCGAACAATAATACTCAAATAGGTTTTATTATTCCTAGTTGTTGACAGTTAATACAGGCACTCAAGATGGTTTTTTAAAATGTATGGGATGAGGTGTTGTGGTACGCAATTCTTCTGGTTTTTAATTTCATGTAACAGTTTAGGAGTAGCCACTTAACAGTTAAAAATGTCTTTTCTGTTTATACAAACTTGTCTAAAGTTATATTCCTTTACTGTGGAGATAATCAGATATCTCCTGCTAACAGACTGCATTATGTTACTTTTGCTCATATCTGAATCAATCATTCTTCAGTATAAAATGAGAAAAACTGATTGCCTGGTCTTTATTGTTTGTTACGATAGCCATTTATTTACATACTTTTTTTGATTAACTCTCACTAATTAGATTGTTACTATGTTTTCTGGTGAGGGTTCCCATAAATCGATAGAGCAGACTTCCAATTTTCTCTGTTATTATAAGCTAGAATTGCCTGCATTTTGATTGTTATTCAAACTAAGCCTTAGGTGTTTTACTTGTCCTAGTAAGTGTTGTTGACGGCAAACATTTCTCTGAAGCACTCCATAATGTTAGTAATTTGTAGTAAAAATTCCTTGTGACGATTTAAAGTGGTTTATAATGGCGGGAACGATGGCATTCTAGCTTCCAAATGACTTCACCAATCTTCATTGACTTATTCTTTTTATCACTTCCACTTTCTTATCATAATATTATATTTCTATTTCCTTATATTGTGAGACTTTCCAAATGGGCATAGTCGAACTGATGTACTTTTGTGCGTATCTCTCTGTCAGTTCATAAGACAGTCGTGCTTGGACTCCGGACCCCATGTCTTTATATAAAGTCACATGGACGGAACTGAAGACATTTAAGCAAAAGTCACATCTTGAAGTTGTAAAATGCTTTGAGACAAAAAATAGGTGGATAAGATAAAGAAATATGCTATTGGAATAAAGATAATTAAATGAGTGTGTTGATGCCAAAAAGTGGTTATGAGCCAACTGTTGCTTCTGACAGACACATGGACGGTAGTCAGATAATATACACTATCTCGACCTACAGTTGGATATTTGGGAAATTAGTTTTATATCTTCATCTTGTCACTTGTTGTTTTCTTTCGGCCTAGTTTTACTTCTACTCACATCGTCGTAGGTATTAGGTAGGCATAGCTAACATTTTTTTGACCAACTCAGTCTGTCATAGAGGGGACCCGGGTAGGGTATGTTACGAATGTACTGACAGTTGTGTATTCATTCTTTACAAATTTACCGAGTTTCGTAATAGTAGAAAGAAAATTACAACCTGCTGCATAAAATACTCAGTCTTTGACGATCAGTCAGCTTTATAAGCGGTCAAACCAAAACATGACATCATTTTTTGAGGACTTTGGCTGTTAGTTTGATCTTTTTAATAAGGTGTAGGCTGCCTAACTGGGCTCCCTGAGACTCCAAAAACCCATGGTTAGAGACTATTATTGGTATGGATCAAAGTCATTTTCAATAGCACAGATGCACTCACTCTCTGGTATCTCACAGATCTACTAAATTCCCATTATTCATGTAATTATTCTGTTATAGTTTTTTGCGTTTACTCTATCTTTATGTTGTTCTACACTTGTGAAAATTTCTACTTCCGAAATTCAGTTCAGTTTTTTTCAGAAATGGTACTGTTTATTAAAAGCTCATCAAGGCTTTCCTACTCTTGAAGATATTTCCTTAATTACTGACCCACCACTCCATATGGAGCTCCATAAAAAAGTAATATAGTTAACGTGTTCGACTATCTTATTCCTTACAATCAAATAAAGTTCTGATGCAAATGAAAACACTGCGAACAATCCCATCTTATCATATTGACACTTGTATCTCATTACTCCGATGAAACAGCAGAATTATTCAAATGACTTAATCTTCTATGAATAATCAGACAACTTACTAGTGGTAAAGGCAACGCAAATAGAAAATTCTTAACAAGCCTTTTCTATTCTTGCAAAAAAAATTTGTCAGCAATCACTTCATTAGCTTTTACATGTCTTACTAAAAAGTGAGGCGGCAAAATTATTTTGCCACCTAATTCATACTCTTTTGCAAAGAGCCTGTGCAAACTACCTCTGCGTTGTTTGTCACCTTAAATACTTACGAGTGAGTAACTGATGCTGAACATGCTTAGCGACTTTCTTTTGACGTGTTGGAAGGTTATACAGCGTATCAGAACATTTATTTGACAGGATTGTATCGTTAGTAAATAAATCCTAAGTGTCTAGAATTGGCTCTATCGGCACACTTATAAGAAAGTTGAACAGCAACCACCGTGGTTAGCATTTTCACTGAGGAATACTGGCTAACAACAATTTGTGTGGCAGCTCTACATAGGCTTTTATAGAGCTGTATAAATCCGAGTACGCAGCATTTTTCAGCGTGCTCTTTCTGATGTTTAGAGCCAGGAATTACTAGAAATATGGCAATTGGTGAAAACCTAATATGTTTGTGTTCCAGAGTTTTTTAAAGGGTAAAGGTTAATTTCTCGTTGCTAGTCGAGATAAGCCTTTTTCATGTAGCGGTGATAGCAGCTGATGAGTTGTTGGCTGGTGACTAGGCGAATGGAAATATATGTTCAGAAGGTGCTACTGGAATTTTATTAACACGGGATTTTTCTCAGCAGATGCCTGAAATATCTTCTAATTATAAATATGTACGTATAAATCGTTATAGTCCGGCTAAACGAAGCCGTAAATACTAAACCAGACTGATATTAAAAATTAAACGTTAATTTCTGAAACAGATAACGTATATGCGTCATTGCATTAAACAATTTAAGTGTGACTTAAAATATTGTAAGTCAATGCAGTTGTGTTTGGAAATCAATGTTAGCATGTTAAGAACCGGTGGCTTGAGATTATTGGTGGTATTGTTCCAAATCGTTCTCAATGGTTTACATGTATTCACTCTTTGTGACCCCCCATATCCACTAAACAATCATTTTCTGTATGTGACTATATTTTCTCCCGTAAATTTCTACTTCTTACGGTTGTTTTTGAGTCCGTTTTTCTTTCTCTCTGTTTTGTCTATATTACGTGCCACACAGAGTATGGCAAGTTGAATTGCTATACTTCTGTGCAAATGCTCTATGTTTAAACTCAGTCATATCAGTAGAATTTGGGACCAGGAGTGTTTGTTTCAATTTTATTCCTGGCGTAGTGCGCACACTTAGAGAAAATGAACTGATAAATACTTAATTACCGATTCAGGGAAGCGTCTAAAAATCACATCTAGGCCGGAGCAGAAAGAGTCTTGTTGTTAACAGTGATTAGTTTTCAGATTGAGATTTTATCTTAACTAGATTTAAACAGGAAATCCTCAAAGATTACATATCTCTTTTCTGATATGACTCTTCTCTCGTGTGATGCGATTATGATTTCTGGTGGGTAACCTATTTTGCGTTACGACGTCATTTGCTAGTCAGTGGGTACCAATATTTTTTGAAAATCGTCAGCTGGTTTTATCTTAGGACTAGAGATGCTTTCTTAAATGACTTCACCTGTATAGCACATGGAGGCGTGCTCATTAACTTAAGTACTTGACTTTCAACCAGTGGGTCCTGGACTCAAATCCCCTTTCACCTACTTTCACCCTGGAGAAACTAGGTGATTTCATAAGCTTTCACCGAATAAGTGAGACTGATAGCATGGAACGTGGAAGACCTATCCCAGGAGCTAAGTTGAACCAAGCGGTGTGCTGCCATCTTGGTATTCAGAAGTACTTTCTGTGTTCGAAATATATAACTTGATAACAGTTATTTTTCTCAACCTTTTAGCGGCGAAGCAGAATAAGGACATATTTATATATTGCATCATTTATCATAAATCTCTTATACAAAAGCACACTATTATTTGTGATTTACAAAGATATATGAAAATGTCTGCTACCTAATCTTGCGTTTTGGGTTATATTGTCTGTCTGGATTCAACATAGAACTTGGCACCGAAGTGCACCAGTTCCAGTTGCCACGTTCCAAATAGCACACAGAGGTAGACAAGAAGATGAGTGAAGAGAATCAATACAGTCTGACAAGTATAAGAGTGAAACAGAATGGGTAATGGTAGAAAGGAATATGAAAGATTACAGAGACTGAATACATGTGCGCTGGCCATTGACAACGATTTAGAGCCATGTCACCTATTGTCTCCAGCCATTGATTCCTAGAGTCCCAAGGGCCCCAACCCGGGAGTCTGCATCTCCCTACCTGACAGACTCAGTTTAACTGTCAAGGGTTTCATGGATTGATGAGGCCATGTTTTTGTTTGGCCACCACTTACCCTTTTCCAACCGGCACCCATATCAGCTAGTAATGCCCGTCGGCGGGGGGAGGCGATGGTTAGGCATGCGCAGCACGTGACCTAGCCATCTCAATCTACGTAACTTAATAGCCTCGTCGATTGACTTTCCCTGTCTGCCCAACACTCTACGCCTAACGTCAACATTACTTACCTAATTATACCACCTAACGTGAGACAGAGATCGCAGACATCTATGATCGAAAGCAGTCAACCTTTTCATGTCTTCAACTCGTATTGGCCATGTTTCAGAGCCATAGAGAAGGACGGAGCGAACTGCTGAGCAGTGCACACGTCCCTTGGTTGATAGACGGATGTCACGCCTACCCCAGAGATGGTGTAAGTCAGCGAAAGCAGCTCGAGCTTTTCGGATCCGTGCTGAGATTTCATCGCCAATCAGTCCGTTGGTGCTAATACAACTTCCCAAATAGGTGAAGTGGTCAACATGTTCTATCACTTCACTCCCTATCACTAAGCTGGGAGTTGACGTGGTCCAGTCCTGCAGCAGCATCTTACATTTTGTAGGGGCGAATCGCATGCCAAACATACGAAGATTCCTGCTCAAGGTGTTCAGAAGACTCTACATTTTGTCAGAATCCTCTCCTAACAGGACTATGTCATCTGCATACTCTAAGTCCATAAGACTATTCCCTGGTAACAAGTCGATTCCTAAGTCGTTACGTTCAGTTAAGGATACTTCCATCAGCCTATCTATGATGAAGTTAAACAGAAATGGGAAAGTGGACATCCCTGTCGGACACCACTGGTTGTTACCAATTCAGATGACAATTCCCCATAAGCCCTTACACGACTACGTGAGTTTGAATAGAGTGCCTTGATTAGTGAAATGTACTTTCTTGGCACTCCCTTCACAGTCAGACATTGCCATAGTACCTTTCGACCCACGGAGTCGAAGGCCGCCTTCAAGTCGAGAAATATAGCAATTGTTGGACGCCGAAAAGTGTGTCTATGTTCTAGAATCTGTCGAAGAGTGAAGAGGTTATATTGGCAGAAAAGGTTTCCTATGAATTCGTCCAAATTGGCGGTCTGATTTAGCTTATCTTCCCTATACCATATACGTTCTTGTAGTTACTGATGGTATTATAAATTTAATTCTCAATTTACACATATTTGCATAAAACTGTCTACTACTTATTGATTGAGATGAGTAGTTGTATGCCACTGACATCAACCAGTTTGCTTTACTCTTGGTTTCCTGATTATCATTTTTGGTATCAAACAGATCTCATATTGCCGTCTAAGCATTCCCGATTTCCTAAGGTCTATTTTGAAAACTGTGAATCCGATGTATAGTGTCATCAGTTCGCCCAAGTAGGTAGCCATAAATCGGGTGTTTTGAAGTGATTCAGCTCTCTCTGAGCTGAGTCGAACTGGTTACACCGATGATGAGCTCGACTGCAAACCAGCGAAACGGACGTCTGGTACTTAGATCAATTCGATCTGGTTAGCAAAGTATGCTTAACTCTAATTTTTAAGTATTCGCCTGTCTTTGTATACTAACTGGTTCCTGTGTATGTATAATGAGGCTTTATTTCAGACAATATGTGGACCCAAAATATTTCGTCTTCGTACAGGACTTACATGTAAAGTAATAATCTGAAGTATATCATGTGATATAGTGTTGTTGCATATGAAGAGATAACTAGTTCTGTATATACTTTTCTCCATTTTCTTCAAGAAGCGTTTCGTTGAAAGCTAGTTAAATATGTGTGCGAGTTCTTGTAGTGACCATTTGATATAACTGCATGATTAAAACAATAAGAAATGCTAAAGAGTTTAGGCATTTTGATGGATGGGAACTCTGGTAGCATATATATAAATGTAAACTTTGTGACACTACTTTTTCTGTTTTTTTTTTATTTTCTCAGTTGCCAATTTAGTTGGTCGAATAGGCAATTCCAAAGGTGTGATCAGCGGTGATAAACATGCTCCCGTTGATCGATCGGAGGCATTTGGTGATATGGGTCGTGCAGTTGTTATACCTGCATCATTACAAGCAGAATCGAAACGGACATTCCATGTGAATGAATTTAATCTGGTTGCTAGCGATTTAATTGGTCTTCATCGTAATTTAAATGATTTTCGTCATGCCAGGTTTGTTTGTGTGTTTGTTTTAATGAGGTTTATTATTCATTTTACTTAAAAATTGTAATCGCGCGTATTAATAACCGTTTACTGTCGTACTTTTTTATTTATGGATTGTATACTTCCATAAATTCCAGTTGTCCACTTATCAGTTAGGGTTGCTTCACATGCGCTCAATGGTGACTGTGAATAATGGTCGGGAAAGTCACTCCTTTGTTTAACTTATTGGCCTAATGTGTCGGTTCCAGTGGCTGGGTTCTGAGGTACAACTCTATTCTACTAATTAAGGTTTGAGCAGCAAGGCAGTAGCACTAGTCGTCATACAGTGTGTGTAGTTTATTGCCAGCTGCATGGAAGTGCTATTGGTTATTAAGCAGCATTCCTATTCTTAGACTACCCACTGACTTTTACACAGCTTAGGGCTTTTTGACTTACATGATTTCTCCGGGTATATAATAAGTTAAAGTGTATAGCTCGCAATATACGTTGACTGGGAATCGAATCCGGACCAACTGGCTAAGCACTCTACCTTTGATTTACCGACACTTTTGCCGTTGCTAATACCTCTTTCAGTATTTCACTTATCGGAACTATTTCTAGCTAGCCAGCTGTTTGTGTGTGCTCATGGTTTACAATTTTAGCCGAGGTATAGTTAGGGTTTAGAGAACTGAAGAATGACTAGATTCAGAATTTCTGCTATTTTATTAAATTAGGGATTGTCTGTGGGAGTAATGTAGTAAAGTAGAGGTTATTTAGTCTGCAGTTCACAGGACTGGACTATATTGACCCCTAGCTTAAAGACAGGGAGTGAAGTGGTGGCCGAACATGTTGACCACTTCACTTATTTCGGGGAGTTGCGTCAGCCAACGCCAGAGGGTTGATCACTGACGATATCTCAGCATAGATACGGAGGGCTAGTTTCGCATATGCCAGTTTACGCCGTCTCTGGCGTAGAGATGTGGTGTATCCGGCTAGCTACCGAGCAAAGGGCGTGTCTACTGCTCAAAAGTCTGCTCCGTCCTCCTTTATGACCAGCTGTGAGACATGGCCATTGAGAGTGGAAGACATGAAGAGGTTGACTAGCTGTCTTTGATCATAGTTGCCTGCGTTCTATCTCCCGTGTGAAGTGGTAAAATAGGGAGGGTAATACTCAGGTTAGGCGTCGAGTGCTAGGTAAGAAGGGAAAATAACTCGACGAGGTTGTGAAGTTACATCGATTGATATGGCTGCGACATGTGTTACTCATACCTCCTAGCCATCGCCTTCCTCGATTGGCGATGTTAGTTGACATAGGATTGATCAGGTTGGAAAAGTGCCACTGGTGGTCCAACCAAAACATGACCTAATCAGTCAATGAATTTCACAACAGTTATTTTATACCAGCCAGCCACATTGGTAGGTTCAGACTTCTTGGTTGTGATCATCGGGAGAGTAAAAACCAATGAAGGCTGGAAACAATTGGTGATATGGTTCAAAATCGTCTTTCTCCATGATGGCGGAGATGCATTCACTCTTTGTGATTTATCATATCCATTAAATTCTGTAAATTCTATTGTTCTTCCATACTACTAATCTTTTTGCCTCATATTTCTGTTTATTATCCCTCTGTACTCTCTTCTATTGTTGTGTGTGCTACATGGAGGGTGTGTGGTAAGTAGAACTGTTGCACGTCTGTAGAAAGTTCTACGTTGAAACCAGTCAGTCCACAGTCCACAGGATACATACACCCTACATTAAAATTATAATTTGCACTTGTTCTCCGTACTGTGCTTCTTTTATCTTCCCTTTATGTGTTCTACGTTGTTTCAAAAGGACATTTCATTTCTCCACTTCGCCATTTAATCCGTCTCTCCGCTACTCAGTATTCTTGTGGAAAACATCATACACAACATTCTACTTACGAAATCGCGTCAGTAGCACTTGCTATACTCGTACTTCCGACAGAAAGTTTCTACAGGAATCGCTCCTATCTTCTCGGTGCTACTCGCTCTTGATTTGTCTTGGTACCGAATCTTATTTTATCGCACTGTGTCTGCCTCTGAAGTTGTCCGGTGTTAACACGTTTCCGTTCACCTCCTCTTCTGATGGTATAAACAAGACCACATCTCTTAGTGACAGTGTATTGTACTTTCTTTCCATACACTTTACTTGGTCTTCAACCTAAAACGTTACGTAGTTCTTTTTCCTTTTTTATTCGGATTTCTCAGTATCTATCTTCTTTTGATGCTTCATGTTTCTGATTACTTCTTTCCGTTCCACTCCACTTCACATCACTTCATACTCCACTGTTGGTAATGCGACCAGGTTTCATTGTGTATTGGTAGTCGTCGTTTATTATCAATACATCAGCTAATAAAACGGCGACTTCCTTGTTTTTTTCCCTGGATGGAAGCACGATGTGCTAGCAGTCTTCAACATGCAGTCATGTTTATCCATAATATTATCATATTGATTTTGTTTGCTCTATCTTTTCTTCTTTCATCTTATGATATTTCTTGACTTTCGTTAGATAACATATCCTCTTCCTTCCCATCGTCTGCTTGATTATACCTGTTTGAGATGTGGTAATTCGAAACATTAGAAAAACAGTAGTGTTTCCTCCTATTTCGATAAAGGAATCTGTCTTCGTATTTGTCTGTCTATCTAACTACCAATTAACAAATGTATATGTTTAAAAGGATGTCAAAATCTTTTCTCTTTTTTTTTTTATCAAAAAAGGTATTGAACATTAAAAAGAAATTAGGGATGGTGATTCATCTGCTCGTATGTTATCAGTGGTATTGTTGTTGGTATTATTGATTGATTTTTCAAAAGTTTTAATGCTAATTTGTCAGTTGCACTTAATAATGGAAAGGAGGTATGTCTTATTGGCTTAGAAACACTAGATTTTCAGGTATTGAGACACAGGCTCGAGTTATGCTCAGCCTACCTTAGTCAGCCTTGGGGGAACTGGGTGGGGGTGGTGAACCGTCAGCCACTCACATAATAATCGTATGATTCATGATCTGTTACATGAGAAGTTTAATCCAAGTAACTGAAGCATAACGGCAATGATAGGATGGGAAAAAGACATCTGGGATGATGTTTAGCTTTGTGTATGTGTGTGTGTGTGAGTGAAAGAGGGAGGCTTGATCATTTCCTTTGCTCCATCAGCCCAGCTAAATAGTAAAGCAATATATCCAAAATCTCCGTAAATTATAAAACTATACACTACCGATTGGTTGGGATCAGAAGTTGTGTGGCATAACTCATATCAACCTGTAGTACTTGCTAGCCAGATCATCGATGTGATCTAAACACCGAGGGGCCGTTTCTCTCGTTAGAGGCCCAGTTCATCAGCTCGCTGTACCTGGTTTGACTCAACTCAGAAAGCTAAATCAGTTCAAACCATCCAGTTTACTGGCTGGCTACTAGGGAGAACTGATGTTGGCATAAGTTAGATGTGTAGTTTGTAAATTATTTTGTTATACAAACAGTTCTAGGTGTTTATTTCACCACAGTTTTATTTGGAAATCGAAATTATTCAGATCACAGTATGTGATTTGAGTGGTATATACAACTACTCATCACCATCAATCAGTAGTACATGATTTTTATGCATTTATGCTTGGTTTCTTGATTATCATTTATGGTATTTCCAAAGGAAACTGTGGAGATATTTTACTTCTCAGACTGTGTAAATTGCAAATTTGACCTGATAAAATACGTTTCCCATAAACTGCTGACTGTGTTACTGATACATTGGTTTCTCATTCGAACAGCGAAGGTATCTAGAACATCTACCATACCTTCAATGACGCACAAGTGATATTTTATGCTTAGTTATACATTATTCTACTTTATTTCTTATTACTGTATTCAACTATGACGTTTAATTCATAATAAATAAGAGGAAACCAAAGATTTCCTCATCTGGAAGAGGATAGAATTCGTATCCCACTGAAGTTTATCCTAGTGGTTGAGAGTAGTCAACACGCCTAGTCATCGCCTTCCCCGATGGACAATGTTAGCTGACATAGGGTCAGGCTAGAAAAGAGCTAGCGTCGGTCAAACCGAAACATGGCACTAATCAATGAAATCCACAACAGTCAGTTTAAGTCACGTAGGAAGGTGTAGACTTCCTGACTGGTTGGGGTCCTCGGGACGGTAAAAACCAATGCAGGCTGGAAATAATCGGTGATATGGCTCAAAATCGTTGTCAATGGCTGGCGCAGATGCATCCACTCCTTGTGACTTATGATTTCAGATGAAACTGTTTTGTTCTTCGTTATTACTATTCCTTTGTCCCGAACCTCTGTTTACTGTCTGTATTATGCATTTCTTCTACTTTCTTCTCTTGCTTTGTGTGCTACAAGGAGGGAGTGTGGCGACTTGAAATGCTGCACATCGGTGCAAAGTTCTACATCGAAAACAGACAGACAGACAGTCGACACACTCATCTCGTGGTCTGAAAATGCTGGGTTCGAACCCTTGGCTGGGTGGTAAATGTACACTGATGAAGAGTTCTAAACTAGAACGAAGTAGTCATCCAATACTCCTTGGTTTTCTATGATTCTCATTTCGTGATCTAACTTGGAACCAATAAAATCTGTGCAAACCAACACTTGAAAATAAATATTACTTCCCAGTAATTTCATTATGAGGTAGTTGTACAGTAGTCATAATTATATCACGTAAAAAGGGATTAAGAGGCACCATAAAACAGAATGAGCAGTTAATATGCATAATATTAAAATTATACACCTCATTCAACGGTTGTACGATAATGCTGCATGCCAAGTAATCCACAACGGGAAACTTATGAAATCCTTCGAAGTGAAGACGGGTGTAAGACAACCTGCCTGCCTACTATCTCCAATGATTTTCCTGATCTTAGTAGACTGGATAATGGGACAGACAGCGGGCTAGTCAACGAGGAGACAGGCATAAAATGGACTCGCACAAAAACTTGGAGGATCTGGATTTCGCCGATGATATATATCTGATTCCCCACAAACTGGAAGATATGC